ATCCGCGACACCTTTGCAACTTTCCAAAACGGAATGTGCGTGGCGCTCAGGCAAGAGCCACATTTTCAAAACGATTCACCCTCAATCCGTGAAGCTCTTGCAAATGTTTAAGACGAGTACGCGCGGCGTTTCGGCGAGAACGGCATTTTCAAAACGACCCGCCCTCAATCCGTGAAGCTCTTGCAATTTTACGAGACGAGTGCGCGCGGCGTGAAGACGAGAGCCTCATGGTCAAAACGACCCGCCCTCAATCTGTGAAGGTGTTGCCAATTTGCAAGCTCCGGGATCATAAATGGTGAGGCAGTCTCAGACGAAACGCCAGGCCCGCCTTTACGACCAGCCTCGGGGTGTGACAGGGATGAGTTATTTATAAGGAAAAGGAATGGAGGAGGAGGAGGAGGAGGAGGAGGAGGAGGAGGAGGAGGAGGAGGAGGAGGAGGAGGAGGAGGAGGAGGAGGAGGAGGAGGAGGAGGAGGAGGAGGAGGAGGAGGAGGAGGAGGAGGAGGAGGAGGGAGGAGGAGGAGGAGGAGGAGGAGGAGGAGGAGGAGGAGGAGGAGGAGGAGGAGGAGGAGGAGGAGGAGGAGGAGGAGGAGGAGGAGGAGGAGGAGGAGGAGGAGGAGGAGGAGGAGGAGGAGGAGGAGGAGGAGGAGGAGGAGGTGGCGGAGCAGGAGGAGGATGAGGAAGAGGACGAGGATGAGGATGAGGATGAGGATGAGGAGGCGGAGGCGGAGGCGGAGGCGGAGGCGGAGGCGGCGGCGTCGGCGGCGACGGCGGCGGCGGCGGAGGAGGAGGAGGAAGAGGAGGAGAAGAAACATAATGATAATACTAACAATAATAAGAATTATCATAATACTATTGAGAAGACGAAAGCGAGGACGACACCGAGGACGAAGACGAAGACGAATAATTATAATAACAATAATAATAATCAGCGAAGAAGATTATTGTCTCCGGCGGAAAGACCCCGCATGAGAATCCTCTCGGCTAGTCTGGAAAAAGCCCTCACCGTCGGCCTCGTGATTGGTGAGGCATCCTTATTGCCTCTTCTGCGTATATCGCTTCTCGCCCTGGCACAGGCCCTCCTCCTGCTTCCTACGTTTCCCCCATCCTCGCCCTCCTGTTTTTTGTGCCCCGTCACCTCGTCCCCTTGCTATTGCATGAGCGCGCATGCCGATTTTCCTCGGCGCCGTCACCGCCTCGGCCAACACGGGAGCGTTCTCTAATTGCCCTGTCGCGCAGCCGTTGGGGCAATCCCGCGGGCCAGGTCGTGGAGACAACCGCGCGAGCCGCTGGCGCGCAAGACCAAGCCGTTGGGACAACCCCGCGGGTTTCGAGCGGGGTGCCGCGGCGCTCAGGCGGGAGGCAGCACAAAGCTCAGCCCTGCCGCAAGTTGCTCCGCCTCCGCCCTGGACCATTCCGCTCTCTTGTCGAAATCCTCGAGCGCCTTCCGCAAGGACGCTGGCGGCCCTCGCTCCAGGAGCTTTTGCGGCGGTGGCCGCAGGATCAGGATGTTCCGGTTGCGCGTGGCGCGGGAGAACATGACGTAGAGGTGCAGCCGCCACTGCTCGTCCGACATGCCCGTGCGGCCAGCGTCCTCGTCTCTCGCGCAGTCGATGGTGACGCCCTTGCGCAGCGCCTGGCCCTTTGACAGCGTGGAGGTCAGGTAGGACGCGTGCGTCAGGGTGAACCCCGAGCGGCGCACTGTGTGCGGCCCCGAGCTCTGCCACTTGAGCTCCTGCTCGCTGGGCCTGAACATCAGCGAACTCCGCGCCCGCGCCTCGGCCTGGCCGTCGTCGTCGGCGCCTTTGGCGCCCTGTCGCAGCACCTCGGCGACCTCCTGGTAGATCGGAGACTCCTTGAAGCCGTGCACCTGCAGCCAGATCCCCTGCGGTAGGAAGCGGGGGCGAAAGAGCTGGCCCGCCGAGCACTCCTCGTACCGCTGCCCGTCCCCGTGGTGGAATTCGAAAGACACGATGGTCGCCCGTTGCGCCTGCACGAGTCCCAACTTCTTCTTCAGCTCTTCCTGCGCGGCCGTAAGCCGCACCTCCATGCCGACGTGGGCCGGCAAGGCGCCGTGGATACAATCCATATTTGTAAGACGGGGAGGGGGAGGATAAGGAGGAGGAGGAGGAGGAGGAGGAGGAGGAGGAGGAGGAGGAGGAGGAGGAGGAGGAGGAGGAGGAGGAGGAGGAGGATAAGGAGGAGGAGGAGGAGGAGGAGGAGGAGGAGGAGGAGGAGGGGGGGGGAAGGGGGGTCAGGGGGAGGGAGGAAACTAGAGGAGGAGGAGGGAGGGAACTAGACGAAGAGGAGGAAGGAGTGAGGGAGGGAGGGGGCCCAGACGCAAGCTATTCGGGCTTGCTGGGATGTCGGTGAATCCCCGGACCGAGAGGGAGGGAGGGAGAGAGGACGACGATGACGACGGGGCGAGTCACATACGAGGTCCCCCTCGATACTTCCCGCAAATTCAGGCCTGAAGAGCCCAAAAGTGACGACAGTTACAGGAATCGAGTGGCCCGGTCGGATTACCAACGAATCCTCAAAGTGACGACAGTTACAAGAATTCCATGGCCCGCCTCGGATTCGAACATGAAGTCTGGGCCCCTTAGGGAGGGGGCTCCCGCCTGAGACTTCCTCACGATTGACTCACATACTAGGCTCCCGCCTGATACGTCCTCCATATTCAGGCCTGAGTAGCCCAAGCGTGGCGGCAGTTACAAGAATTGTATGACCCGCCTCGGATTAGTAACATGATGCGCGGGCCCCTTAGGGAGGGGACTCCCGCCTGAGGCCTCCTTACAACATACTCACAGACGAGGCTCCCGCTTGATATTTCCTCCAAATTCAGGCCTGAGGAACCCAACAGTGACGACAGTTACAAGAATTGTATGACCCGCCTCGGATTAGTAACATGATGCGCGGGCCCCTTAGGGAGGGGATTCCCGCCTGAGACTTCCTCACAATTCACTCACAGACGAGGCTCCCGCTTGATATTTCCTCTAAATTCAGGCCTGAGGAGCCCATAACTGACGACAGTTACAGGAAAGGGATGACCCGCCACGGATTAATGACATGATCAACGGGCCCCTTAGGGAGGGGGGTCCCGCCTGAGGATTCTTCGCAATTGACTCACAAACGAGGCTCCCGCCTGATATGTCCTACATATTCATGCCTGATGATGATGGTGAATGATCGATGGATGATGGTTTTAGTGATGGTAAAGCTGATGATGACGATGAGTGGTGATGACGATGATGATGATGAGTGCTGATGATGACGAGTGCTGGTGACGCGGTGTTGACAATGACGGTGCTGATGATAATGCATGGTGATAGTGAATGGGTGATTGAGTGAGTGAGTGTGTGTCTGAGTGAGTGAGTGAGTGAGCGTGTGTGATTGAGTGGGTGTTCGTGTTCCTGTTCTTGCGCGGGGTGTCCAGAGAAAGCAAGAACCCTTTTTGGATGTGGGGAATAAGCAGACGCAGAAGCAGACACATAAGCAGACATATAAGCATAACAAACACATAAACATACGCAGAGACAGCAACGTAAACAGAAGCAGAAAACGAAACCGAACCATAGTAGTAGTACGAAGAATAGTAGTAATACTAAGAATCATACTGGTATTCATGATACCGAGAAGAACACTACAAACTAATACTACAAACCTCACCAGTAATCATAATCTGACGAATTTTAATACGACGAAGAAGCGTATTAAGACATGTACGAATACTCATACTAATGCTGACAATAACAGACGCACTACTACTATTGTTACTACTGCTGAAATTCAGAATGAGCATTATAATTCAGTAATCGATGATACTATGAATGCCAAGACTAGTAATAACAATACGATGAATAAGAATGGTTCGGCTAGTACTAGTAGTAAGAAGAAAAGCAATGATAATACGAGGGGTAAGAAGAAAGCTGATGTTATGCATATGAATAGTACTAAGAACTGTAATAATAGTAATGCGAAGAAGAACAATCGCACTAATAATAAGCATGATAATGCTGAAGAGGAACAAGGATACCACTGATCGTAAGAGTACTAAGAAGACGAATGGTACGAACATTTGTTGTAAGACGAATGCTGGTACGCAGACGCTTAATAGTATTACGAGTACGACGTCTAGCAAGAAGAGTAAGAAGAGTAACCGCAATCCTTATCATCATACTAATGGGAGTAAGAGTGATGATCATGTTTGAAGGTACAGCATAAGGATACTAATATTTCAGAAGGGAAAGAAAATAAGAAAAGCAGGCGGAGGTGGAGGAGGAGGCGGAGGAGGAGGGAGAGGAAAACCAGGAGGATCAGGATGAGGAGGATGCTGCGGAGGAGGAAGTGGAGGAAGAGCAGGCGGAAAAGAGATAATGGGGATGGTCAGGAGTAGGTATAGCGGAAGGGGGGAGGGCGATGGCGAGAAAAACTGACGTGGATGCGAAGGAGGAGGACAACGACGATGACGAAAAACTCGACGACGACGCCGAAGGCGCAGGCGGATCAGGAGCAGACGGACGCGCGAACACTCTGGGGAACCCCTTTGGCCCAAAAGGTGCTGTTTGGGGATGCTGGGCTCTGGCTGTAACTGTTGAGTGTTTCATTTCTCTCTCTCTCTCTCTCTCTCCCCCTCTTTCTCTCTCTCTCTCTCTCTCTCTCCGCCGCCCTCTTTCTCTCTCTCTCTCTCTTTCTCATTCTCGCACTGTTGGACGTGGAGGAAGAGAGTGAGCAGCAGCAGCAGGACGAAGAGGACGTGGAAAGGGAGGGGGGACGACGAGAGGGCGCGCACACTTCGCTCCGCGACCCACGTGCCAGTCCGTGCCGCACGCAATTGCCACATGGGCGTTGGGTTTCTGCAGGCTATGATATATGCCATTCGTGCCAGCGGTGCCAGATGAATGGGCGCTGCGGTTTTGAATGCTTCATGGTCGCACAACGCCACGTAGGCAACGACATGCACGCCAGTTCTGCTCGCTGGATCGGGTTTTGCCCAGCAGGCGGTACGCTTTGCACTTCTACATCGTCTGGATGTCCAGTGGTTGGATATTCGGAACTTGGGCAGCAATCTGCCCCGTTTCAGTTTCAGTTTTTCACATCGTCTGGCTTCACATCGTCTGGCCAATGCAGCGCTGTTTGAAGCACGATGTCCACGAAGGTGGCCTTCGTATGTTTGCACTCAAGGCGCTAGATGCAACCGCGACAGTGCGGGGGTCGGGAAGGTTCGGTGTAGTTTTCGGTCAGTTGTTTCATGTATTCACGGCGTGGATATGGACGCGTAGAGACAGACGCCTCGCAAGAGCTTTCGTAAGTTCAAACGGTTCGCCAGCGCGCACCTGATGGTAGCCACTGCCGTTCTGCATCACGCCGTTTTCTTTCATACGCGTTCGACGACTGGTACCCGATAGTAGTGATATATGTACATGTTCATTACATGCATATGTGTATATAACATATATAGATATATACACATACGCATGTACCCTTCGCTCGTTGAAAGTATGCGTATATTCCTATACACGTCGGTCGTTGAAAATAGGTATTTTTGGATTCCCAGATCCCAATCTACTTAAAGCGCCTTCCTTGTTCAAGAATCGACACGCTTTTGCTGTGTGTTTGTGATTCTCTGGGAGGACCTGGACCCAATCTACTATATCCGCCTTCCTACTTCATGCTTCTACCTACTTCTTCCGACCGACGCGCATCCCAATCTAATTTAGCCGCCTTCCCACTTCAACCATCGAGTGCCTTCCCCTCTCCCTGCCCCTCCAGAGCGCGGGCGGAGATCCAACACATTTCCGGCGCCTCCGCGCTTCATGTCTCTATCCGTGTCTTCCGATCGAGGGGCACATCTGCATCTATCTATGTATGTACACATACCAATATATATATATATATATATATATATATATATGTATATATTTTTATATATGTATATGTATATATCAATATATATATATATATCAATATATATATGTACATGTGTCTATATATATATTGATTGGTATGCGCTGGCCGAAATTTCGACCGTCCGAATCAGCTTGGAGATGCCGCGGCCGGAGTCTCGGGGGAGCGCGCCGGCTTCGGCCAGATCCGGGGCCCCGCGGGGCCCCGCGGCCCCCCCCCGAGGCTCCCCGCTCCCGCCTCTCTGGACAGCGCCGACGTCGGGAGTTTGAGCCTCCGCGCAAGTTCAGGAGAGGAAAAAACACACAGACACAATTAATCTTCGACTCTTCAGAAAATATGGGAAAACATGGGAACTGGGGGGGAAGGCAGAAACCCAGAAGAGATGGGAGAATATGGGGAGTCTTTCTTTTTGTGTGTATCTATTTGTGTGTCCTGGGGCCCCGTTCACATGTGCAACTCCTGCATGCTGCGCTGCTGCGTGCAGACAGCACGAGGCAGAGGAAAGTCGGCCACGCGCAGAGGGGGGGGGGGGGGGCGGGAATGCTTCTTGGAGGCACCCTGCTCCTCAGAAGGAGCGGGCCTCGTCTGATGATGATGCAGGGCCGGCGCCCTCTGAGAAGCAGCCTCCTTCTGGGAAGCCCTCCCCTCTCCCCCGACCCCCGTGTGCGCGCCGCCGGGACAGGCCCCACGGCCGGAGGCACGCCCTTCCTGGCTCCTCTCGTGCTCGGCCTCTGTCGTGCTCGCTCGTGGGCTTCCACGGTGCCGGGCCTCGCTGTGGCCTCGGCAGCGTTTTAGGGGCCAGAGGCAGGTCGGGCTGGCTCACAGCTTGGCCCGCGCGTAGGAAGCCCAGGAGGGATAAACGGACAGCACGCTTCGCGTGCGATCCGTTCGTCGGGGGGAGAATTTTGGGGAGTTCGAGGCGTTTGTCAGCCCGACGCCCAGATGACGGAAAGCGCGCATAGCGTCGCGATCCTTGAGTCGGGAGAAATATCAAGGGGGAGTTTGAGGGGGTTGGCCTTCGGAGGCCCAGATCTAAGCGCCAACTTTTCGGTCATGTTCGGCCTCAGACGGCCCAAGTAAGCCCCAAGAGCGCCTTTGAGGGCCCCAAGACAGCCCCAAGACAGCGCCAAGAGCGCCCAAGCTACCTCCAAGACGGCCTCAGGGAGGCCTGAAGGGGTCCCAAGACGATCCAAGAGCGCTGAAAGAGGGCCTAGCATGTTTTCAAGACGGCCAAAGGGGCCCTCAAGACGCTCCATGAGGCTTCCAGAATGACGCCCAAGAGGCAAACCTCGTCACATTTCTTCAGGAGAACATGGACTTTTATCTGCTTCTTTGGTCTTCAAAGAGTCCACGACGGCCTCAGAGGCTCCTGGGATTGCCCCAAGACGGCAACAGAGGCCCCGAAGACGGCCCCCAAACGGCCCCCAGACGACCCAAGAGGGCCCCAAGACCCCACGACGGCCCGAGAGAGGCCCCAGAGGGCCCCAACAGATTCCCGCGAGAGCCCCAAGAGGGCCACAGGAGGTCCCCAGAGGGCCCCCGGAGGGTGCAGGGAGGGCCCCAAGACGGCCCAAGCCCCCCAGGACGGCTCAAGAGGGCCCCAGGACGACCCAAGAGGGCCCTAAGACGGCCAAGAGGAGCCGGGCTCTTTGCGTCCCCGTGCCAAGCAGGTCGAATTGCTTTCCTTGGGGCCGAAAGCGGCGATTTCGCCAGGGACATCCCAAACCATGCGATGTACTCAACATCGTCTTGGGATCGCTCTTGGAAGGCCCCAAGACGGCCCAACATGGCCCAACAATCTGGTCCAAGAGGGCCCCAAGATTGCTCAAGATTTCCCGAACATGGCCCCAAGAAGCAAACCATATTGATTCTCAATGGTTTTTTGCTGATTCTAGCTTTCTCGTATTTTCAAGCGCCCGTCTTGCCAAGAGGGCTCAAGAGGCCTCCGAGATCATTCCAGGATTGCCCAAGAGGCTCCCAAGAGGGCCGCAAGACGGCCCAAGATGACCCGGAGACGGCCCGAGACGCTTCCGATATTGCCCAAGACTGCCCCAAGAGCGGGACCAGAGGGCGCGAAGCTGCCACCAAGATGGCCCAAGGTGCCCTCCAGATTGTCAAAGAGGCTCTAAGACGGCCCAATAGCGTTCGGATGCGGCCCAAGATGGCTCCAATACGGCCCACGAGGCCCCCAAGAGGCGCTCCGCTTGCGACCCAAAATGGCGACTTCGCTGAGGACATCCCCAATGAATTGAGATGTTCTCGGCATCGTCTTGGTATCGCTCTTGGGAGACCTCTACACGGCCCAACAGAGCCCAACAAGATGGCCCAAGAGGGCCCCAAGACTGCCCAAGATGGCTTCAATGTGGTTTCCAGGAGGCCGGAGATGGTCCAAGATTGCGTCCACTCACGCGCCCTGTTTGGGGTCGAAAGTGGCGATTTTGTCGCAGACAACTTTAAACAAATGAGATGCCCTCAACATCGTCTTGGAATTCGTTTTTGGAAGGCCTGAAGGCGGCACAGCAGAGGGCAACAAGACGGCCCAAGACGGCCCCAAGATGGCCCAAGATGGTCCCAAAATAATTCTCCAAGAGGGCCCAAGACGATCCAATATTTCTTCCAAGACGGCTCAAGAGGGTTCAAGAGGCCCCGTGACGCCCCAAGAGCGCTCCCAAACAGCCCAAGTTGGCCTGAAGACGGCCCAAGAGGCTCCAAGATGCCCCCAGAGTCCTCATGGTCAAGCGTCCGATTTCGGTAGCAAATCATGGGAGCCTTGTGTACCCTCGTCATTCTGTCTTTCGCATCGATTCGCGTCTGGGAGTCGATTAGAGAGTGCCGATTCAGCGTCGATTCAGCGTCGACTAGCGTCGATTAGCGTCGATGCGCAAGAGCCGACAATATTGTATGGGCGGCCCCCATGAGCTGCCACCGAATCCGACAGGCAAAGAGGGCTCACGAGGCCGCCGGGGCCGCTCCAAGACGGCCCAGGAGGCTCCCTGCGTAAGCCCCGCATGTCTCTGCGTGATTTCGCATGCGCCCCGCGCAAGCGCGTGCTCCTCGTAGGCCAAAGGTACCTCCAAGACGGCCTAAGAGAGGCCCAAGACGGCTGCAAGATGTCCCAAGATGCAGTCAAGATGCCCCAAGATCCTCCCCAAGAGGGCCTGAGGAGGCAATCAAACCTCTCAAGAAGGCTTGACGAGGCTACACAGAGCGCTCCAAGACGGTCCACGATGTCCCAAGAGCGCTCCAAAACGCTCTGGGATGGCCCAAGAGCGCTCCAAGATTGTTCAAGATGGCCCAAGGGCGCTCCAAGACAATCCAAGAGCGCTCCGAAACGCGTGGAGACGTCCCAAGACCGCTCTAAGACATTACAAGATGGCCTCAAGGTGGCCCAAGAGGCCTCTAAGACGCCCCGAGAGGCCCCCAAGAGGACACCTCAGAGGGCCTGAGGTTTCTTTAGGTTGTTGGAATTTTTTTTTAGAGCTTCTCTCCGATTCGGGCTCAGAACGGCCCGAGACAGCTTGGGGAGTCCCCGAGATTGCGCCAAGATGGCCCAAGAGGCTCCCAAGACGGCTTCAAGACCGCCCTGGAGGGCCTCAAGACAGCCCAAGAGAGCTCCAATTGATGGCCCAAGGAGGGCCCAAGAGTGTCCCAATAGGCTCACCTGGAGGCCCAGAACATGACAAAAAGGGCCACACTGCGACACTCCAGTCAAGAAAACAGGGGCGCTGGAAAATATGATAGGATGAAATGAGGGCGAGGGGAAGATGAGGAAGAAGAGGAACAATAAGGGATACGCCAATGATCTTGTGCGCATGCGATTTCCGTCCCTGTGCTAAGCAGGTCTAGATGCCTTTGTGCCTTCTTTTTTCTTAGGGGCAACGTTAGGGGGGGAATTGACTCAGAGGAAACGTATCGACCCCCAATGCGCATTCATCGCCGATGGGGGCCCGAAAGCCCACGCCGCCCTTGAGCGTGCGGATTCGCTATCGAGGGCCATCTTCGATCTGTCGGCGATGCATCGCCGATTCCAGCTCGATGTTTCCCCACCTGAGCCGGTCCCACCCTAACGTTCCCCCTTGCCCTCTGATCTTCGACGATTTTCGATCCTTGTTCCTCGATCCTCGATCCCCGATCGCCAGCCTCTGGGCGACTGACCGGGCGAGTTGGCCGGCGTGCCAGGAGCAACCCAGAGGAGCAGGGGCAACGTTAGTGAGGGACGAAGTTTCGAGGTTCAAGGTTTTCGGACGTTTTCCTCGTCGGTTCTTGGTGATTGTCCAGCTTCAGAAATTTTTCCAGCAGCTGCGCCTCGCTTAGAGCGTTCCGGGGGTGCCCAGATCGTCCCGAACGACCGTCAGAGAGCCAAGTAATGACCCGAAAACCAAGGGGCAACGTCAGAGGGGATAGGCTCAGGGTTGGATGTATCGACCCCCAGTCGCCTATTCATCGCCCAGAGGGGCCCGATAATTAGCCCGCCCCGTCCGGGAGCGTGCGGATTCGCTATCGTGAGCAGTGTATGCAGTGAGAGGTATGTGGTGCAAGGTGTAAACCATGTGGTGCAAGGTATGTGGTGCAAGCTGCGTAGTGTTAGCCATGCGAGACCAGGCATGCGATGCAGGAAAAGCTGTGCAAGCCATGCGGTGTAAGTCATGCGGTGCAAACGAGGCTGTGCAAGCCATACGGTGTGAGGTACAGTCGAAGCCCATGCCAAGAAACACCCTGCTTGCTTTCCGTAGCCATTTTGGCTCAACTTCGAAACGCTCCCGCGGCGCTTCGAGCTTGGACGCTGCCAAGGGATTGGCTCGAGCGTCCCGAGGTTCGGCCTCGCTTTCTTCTCCAGTCGTGCGCCAAAGCACGCGGTGTTCCAGCTCTCCGTTTGCTCACTTCGCTGCGATGGGTGGGAAGCGTCGTTCTGAGAGGCGTGGTGAGCGCACACGTGATTCGTCTACTGCCTCTTCGTCGAGGCTTCGCAGGAGTGCCAGTCGCAGCCATTCTCGTCGCCGTGGGGCCTCACCTGACCCCCGCATCCTTACGAAGCTCGAGCACACTGCAGGCAGCATCACTGGCCTCAACCAAGTGATTCTCCAGAATACGACAGAGGTGAATGAGTTGCGGTCCGCGGTCCAATCCAGTATCGCTCGCTGTGGGGAGCTAGCTGATCAACTCACACTTCTTGGGAGAGACGCCTCTCAGCGGCACGCGCAGCTCTCTAATGAACTGGCAGTCTCCCTTCGCGAACAAGACGCAGATATTGAGAACATGCGTAAGGAGTTCCTTGGGGCCCAGACGTCTTTCGTGATGGATGACAGTGGTATGCCAACATCCAGCCTACAGCATAAATGTTCTGAGATCGAGGAGCAGCTGAGGGCCCTTCAGACCGCGCAGCAGACATCCGCTCAGCAGATTGCTAATATCACCTCCACTTTTTCGGCCTCGCCTTCGGATATGCCTTCGGCGGCCTCGTCCTCCCGCGCTCCTGCCTCTCGCCAAGCTGCCCTTGAACGTGCACATCGCATTGTGATTGTGCGTTGTACCAGAAAACTAATGCAGGCCTCTCTTCGTCGTGCAGGTGAGAGTTTCGTTCAGCTGGGAGTTCCCCAAGGACGTCCTCAACCCACCATCCGCGCGTATGACATGACCAAGAAGGTGGTTTTAGACTTCGCTGATGGTTCGCAAACCTCGGACTTTCTCTCGAACGTTGCAGCACACCAGCCCCTGAAGTTCCCCTGCCCTGCCCTTCCCTGGTCAATTCTTCTCTCTACGCGCGAAACGTGATCTTGAGCCTGGCACGCGTCACCTGTTCCTCGGGATGGGCAAAGTGCGGGCCGCCATCGCATCGGCAACCCAACCGTTGGGGAAATAAGTCGGCAGCAACGGCCTGGGCGGCGACATCTTCGTTCTTCGTTGCGCCGAAGATCCTGCTCTGATATTCCACCTTGAGCTTGTGTCGAGCTCGCTCCCCCGTCCGCAGATGCGCATTGAGTTTGCCACTGAACAGTTTGCACAGTTTCATGCAGTTATCTCCCCGATTGTTGACTCTCTCTTGTTGCTGGCATTGCGCACCTGAATGAGGGGGCCCCCTTTTCAGCAGTTGAGGAGCAGGCCATTGGCTGCGGGGGCCTCTCACCTGTCTGCCCTGGCGTGTGGTGAGATGGCGAGCCAGTGCTTCCACTGCGATTGCCTCGCGAGTGACGTGGAGCCTTCTCTCACTGCACTTGCACCTAACGTCCCGTCCCATTGTCAGGAGCTTCGGTCTGAGGGCGTTGACTTTTCCGTCTCGCCTGTGGCTCTCCCCGAGGCCCCGAGAATTTCACCGAGTCAGGCTTCTGTGCAGCTGGTCGGGTCCCGCCCTCTCCTCCCTCCTTCCTCTTTCAAGGTCGGATCGTACGTGGAACACGCATGCTCTCTTTGCGGCTGTGCGGAGCCAGAGTGCGAAGGCCCCGCCTCGTTACCATCGTTTATTCAGGTATTCGAAGGATCTAGACGTCTTCGTTGCCCAGGAATCTCATGGTCAAACTGCTGACATTACGGAATTATCCCGAGAGCAGCGTAGTTTCTTTATCGGTCATTCTCTTCTACCGGATCGGGTGTCGGCTGGTGGTGTGATTCCTTGCGTCCATCTTCGTCTCCTTCGTCTCTTTACCTTTGTTGTTCGCGCTCGGATCCTGGAAGGTCGGGCTCTCGCTGCTCATCTCTCTGGTCCTCACGGTTCACTCCACATCGTGAATGTCCATGTGCCAAATGCCAGCGAAACTCTCCCCCTCTATCGCCGTGCGCTTGAATTTACACGTCGTGCTCGCCCGCCGCCCGCGGAATCGCTGGCGATTTTAACCGGCGACTGGAACTTTGCCCTTGCTTCTGAAGGGGGTGCCCGTGCGGATGGCTCTGGCTGGGCTGCTGGAGATGAAGCGCACTCCTCCCTGTGTGCTCGTGCTTGCGCCAGGTGGGCGGAACTCTGCCAGCCTGAGGACGCGATGGGGGGGGGGGAGGGATGGTGCGATCATGCGCGCTGCGCGCTTGGACCGCGCGTGCGCTACTTTGCCCGCGGCTCTCTTGGCAGACCTCGCTGTTCGTGGCAGTGGCTTGGGGCGTCTTCAGTCCGACATGGTCTCAGGTCGCACCCCTCTGGTCATTCATTTCTTTTTGTTTTCGCCGAAGAATGCTCCCGCGAGGTTGCCTTCCTGGATCGCTAAGTTGGAACTTTGTGGGCAGCTTCTCAACGTGGCCGCCGAGCCCCTGACGGACTTCCCCCCTCGGGAGAACTTTCGAGGATCAAGGGGTTGATGTTGAAGGTCGCGGAGGCCGTCAAAGAGCCCCTCTCCTCCCGCATTGCCGATGCGATAGAACTTAAAAACTATCGTGCTCTTCGAGCTCTCCGTGCCTGGAAGTCGGGGGGCATCTCTCGTATCACCGACGCTATCCGCGCGTGTCCTGCCCTAGCTGCTCACTTCCCTGTTGGTGCCCATTGTGGCGCCGGCGTTCCCGCTCTCTGCGCCCGCGTGCAGAATCTTCACCTCGCCCTGCTGGATGAGCAGGAGAGGGGGCTCGATAGGGGCGCTGCTCGCATCCCTGGAGAGACGCTGGGTCATGCCAAAAAGAACATCACCAGGAAGAGAGAACTTTGGGCCAAGATGAAGCGCAGGGCTTGGCTCCAGGCGGCGATTGACCGTGGCGGTTTGCCTGTTGTCTCCGCAGAACAGGCTGCTCCTACGCTTAGTTCTGATTGGTTTCAGATCTTTGCTGCTCCAGCTGAAGATCCTTATGTGGCCTAATTTTGCAGCTTTTGTGTCTCCTTTCGCTGATGTACCTGCGTCGGCCAGCTGTGCTACTCTACTGGAGGAGGGATGGGTGGTTAGTGAGTTTGACGGGGGATTATTGGTGAAGAGCCGGGTGGATAGCATGCCGGGTGGAGATGGGATTCCGTATTCTGCTTGGCAGGTTGACGCGGCGCTAGACATTCTGTATGATTGCTATTGCGAGCTTTATCGTCGCCCGTCTGGTAAGGTCCCATCCGACATGGAAGAGAGCCTCCTGGTGCTTCTCCCGGAGAATATTCGCGAGCATGAGATTATAGGGGATCGTTTTTTTCGTGGCCCTTCGGAAACCAGGCCACTGAGCGTGGCCAGCACGGACGCCAAATTCCTCTCATCCTTGATGGCTGGGGTCCCCACTCGCAAGACCGCGTTGCAAGGCCTTCTGCGGGAACTGCAGAAGTGTTTCAAGGGTCGTGACATGCTGGTGAATATATTTTGCAGGCGGAGCGTTTTCTGCTTGAGAAGCATCTTAAGGACAGGTGCACCGCTGGGCTTGTCCTCGCCGATTTCGAGTCTGCCTGTCCTTCTATTTCGATCCCCTGGGTTCTCCGCGTTCTTGAGGCCGTGAGGGTTTCCCATATCATCATCTCCTTCTTTCGGCGCCTCTATGAAGGGAGCTCTGCTGTGGTGACTCTTTTTGGTGAACGTTTTGACGATATTCGGATTGGTCGTGGCGCGATGCAAGGGGGCCCGAGCTCTATATTGTCATTCGTCCTGGCAACTGAGCCCATCGTAGCGTGGATCCAACCTGAGTTGCCTCGGCATGTTGAACTGTCCCTGGCGTATGCGGATGATTTCTGTTTTGGATTGCAGTGTTTATTTGATGGGGTCGAGCCGCTTTTTCACTGCCTCGCCTGTCTTCGCTCCGCCATAACTCTCGCGCTAAACTTTGCCAGGTGTCGGGTTGTTCTTGTGCGCGAACAGCTTCGGGGCCCGCTTGCAGATCTGCTCGCCGACGTGGGCCAGTCGTTCCCGCTTGCTGAGCTGGCTATGAGAATTAAGTGCTTGTGGATTTGGATTGGGGATCATGCCGAAGATGTGGTTTGGGAGGGGAGTATTTCCAAGCTTGTGGAGAGGGCGGGGGGGGGGGGGGGATTCGGGAGTTGGGATTGGGTCTTGCTCCGTCTATTGTTCTCTTTCGTGCCTTCTGTGCCTCGCTCCTGTACTTCATCCTGCAGCTGTATTCGCCATCCGTCTCTCTCCTGAAGGCCTATCGTTCGTGTGTCACATTGCTCGCCGCAGCTCCCTGCAATTCACTGCCGTACCACATGTGTATTCACCTCGCACAACTTGGTCTTCCTTTTGAGTTTCCGTCCGGAGCGCTGCTTGCAGAAGCGACGAGGGCTCGTTACATTGCCAGGTGCGATGCTCTCCCGCAGATCCGTGCCCAGTATCTTGCCATCTTCGATGATGATGACTGGCGTCCCGCTCGCCGCGTTCGCGGGCGAGTTCCCGCCTCCTTCCTTTCCCTCCCTGAACCTCGCGATCCTTTATGAACGACCTGATGTGCGGAAGCACTACATGGCTAAGCTCAAGCTGTACCGCCGTCCCGCCGACCCCCCTGTCCTGGCCCTTCTGAGGCGCATGAGGAACTGGATCCCTGGAGCTTCTGGGCGTTGCTCGTGTGTTGAAATGTCTCAAGCCCTTATCTACCCGTACTAACATGTATCTTCCGCTTGCGGTCCTTCGACTGCTTACCCGAAGTGCCTGCACGAATTCTCGGTTTCATTCTGCCCCGAAAGGTTGCCTCATGGGATGCCACGACGGGAACCACGACCTTGACGATCTGAAACATTACCTCAAATGTCCTCATCTACGAGATCTCTTTGGGCGTTGGATGGGTATTTGGACTCCGAGGTCTCCTGAGGGCTCGCCCTGGCTTCCTTCCTTCCCCCTTTTTCGGAATTTGGGGCCCGACCGAAGCCTGCTTGTTGCTATGCTATGTGACGCATTCCTAGCCGCACACCATGCCTTCCGTCTCTCTCTGCCTGGTCTTCCCGACCAACACTTTGAAGCACGGCTTCGCACTCAGGCTCACAGGCGCCAAGACTGCCGACGGATCTGGGGTATACTGCAGCTTGCTTCCTTTACCGAGCGCCGAGTGGTATTGCCGCCGATGGTCAGCTGGCTGCGCGGGGCAGCGGCTCGCTGACTTTTGGGTAGTGAGCCCTCCTTTGTCTGTCGCGGTGTCATGGTTCCAGCCGTGGCGTGAGCCTGCTGCAAACAGAACCCTGAGGCCCCCAGGCTCCAGGGTGGCCGTGGTTTCGTTGTTTTCGATGGCCTGGCAGTGGAAAACGCGACGTGACCACACCAAACACCGATGGACGCCCTGGGGTCTCAGGGTCGGGTTTCTGGTGGGAAGTTTCCTGAAGACTTGCCTTTTCCACGGTGCCCTTGGTTTCTTGGGTCTCGATGGCTTGGCAGTGGGAACGTGACGTTACCACACCAGAAACCGATGGGCGCCCTGGGGTCTCAGGGTCGGGTTTCTTGTGGAAGGTTTCTTGTGGTCGGGCCCCTACTGTGTGGGAGGCTTCCTTGAGGACTGGGGAGGAGGAGGAGGAGGAGGAGGAGGAGGAGGAGGAGGAGGAGGAGGAGGAGGAGGAGGAGGAGGAGGAGAGGAGGAGGACGAGGAGGAGGAGGAGGAGGAGGAGGGGAGGAGGAGGAGGACGGAGGAGGAGGAAGGAGTAGCGAGAGGAGGAGGAGGAGGAGGGGGAAGGAGGAGGAGGAGGAGGAGGAGGAGGAGGAGGAGGAGAGGAGGAGGAGGAGGAGGGGGAGGAGGAGGAGGAGGAGGAGGAGGGGATGAGGAGGAGGAGGAGGGGAGGAGGAGAAGGAGGAGGAGGAGGATGGGGGAGAGAGGAGGGGGAGGGAGGAGGAGGAGGTGGAGAGGAGGAGGAGGGAGGAGGAGGAGGAGGGAGGAGAGGAGGAGGAGGAGGAGGAGGAGGAGGAGGAAGAGGAGGAGGAGGAGGAGGAGGAGGAGGAGGAAGGAGGAGGAGGAGGAGGAGGAGGAGGACAGCGAGGACGAGGAGGAGGAGAGGAGAGGAGGAGGAGGAGGAGGAGGAGGAGAGGAAGAGGAGGAGGGAGGAGGAGGAGGGGAAGAGGAGGAGGAGGAGGAGGAGGAGGGAGGAGGAGGAGGAGGAGGAGGAGGAGGAGGCGGAGGAGGAGGCTTCCTGTGGTCGGGCCCCCCACTGTGTGGGAGGCCCCCTTGAGAACTGGCCTCCGCTGTGCGGGGTGGGCCGCAGGAGGCGCCCACGAGGCGCCCGCGGCCGGCGGGCGCCGGGCGGGCACGAGGCGACCGCGGGGCGCCCGCGGGCGGGCACCGGCCGGGCCCCGGGCCAAGTCCCGCCATTGTCGCGCGGCGCACGAGGTGCCCGCGGAGCGCCCGGGTGCGCGCGCCGCCTCGCGCTCCTCTCGGCGGCGAGCGGGGGGGGGGAAGCAAGAGGGAGGAGGCCCCCTCGGAGGGCGGCGGGGCTGCTCGGAGGCGCTCCCGGCTTCTGAGGAGTTGTCCGTGGCTTCGGGGGAGGCTCAGGAAGCTTCTCTGAAGGCTGGGGCACTTCCGAGCCTTCCAGGAAGGCCTTCTCCTTCTCATTTCCCCCCCCCTTGCTCGCCGCCGATCCTCATCGCCTCTCCTCGCCGTAGCAATTCAGTTCAACACGTTTTTCCGCGCATCGCGAGCCCAAGATGGCGAGTCTTGGCGCTGGCGGGCTGGGTGCTCTCTTGGAGGAGCTGTCTGCCGATGGCCTCTGCCAGAAGCGCGAGGCCTCGTCCGAGATGGACAGCGACGTGGGCACCGCGGACAGGACTCGGCGGATGGGCACGGCGAGACAACGGCGGCCCTCCCGCCCAGCCCAGATCCGCCCGAGAGAGGTCCCCGGGACCCCTCCCAGTGTCTTGGCATCGCTCGGACGTGTGCATGTTTCCTTTGGCGAATAAAACCACGCACGAAACCGAAAAAAGCACAGGGAACGGACGTCCGAGCGATGGCCAGGTGTCCATCGCGGCCGGCCTGCTCTTGGAGGCGGATCCCGCCGTGTCCACCGAGAGGCCTCCGGGAGGCCCAGAGAGGACGAGCAATCGCCGGGGAGGGGTGCCGCTGCCTCGGCTTGGCCCTCCCCGCAGGACGGAGAGCACCGCGGCCCTCGACGAGCTCAGCGAGCGCGAGGAGATCCACCATAAGGACCTGTGCGCAGACGCTCCCCCCTCCTCCTCCGCGGGTTGCTCCCGGGCCCGAGGGGAGGGCAGCGGTGTACAAGTCACCACCGAGAGCCAGCGATCCTGCGCGCCGCAGGCATCCCTGAAGGCTCCGGTGGGGAGCTCGTCGGCGGGCGTCTGCGCACAGCTTCCCGCCGCGCAGGAGGCGCAGGGTGGCCCCCCGCCGCGCTCCCGCGCCGCCTCTGCCGGCGAGGGCGGCCTCCGCGCGGGGCTGCCGCTGGTCTGGCTGAGGCGGGCGCCCCAGCAAACTGCACCGACGCCAGCCCTGGTCAGGCGCAATTCGGCGGCGCGCCGAGGTGGGCTCGTGGGAGGGGGTTGGGCCTTCTCAGAGGGCGGCGGGGCTTCTCAGAAGCCCCCTCCGGCCGAGGAGCCACCCCTGTGGCTTCGGGGGGAGGCTCAGGCAAGTTCTCTCGGAAGGCCGGGGGACTTCCGAGCCCTCTGGGATTGCGGTCCTCTTTCTCACTTGCCCCCCCTTGCTCGCCGCCGCTCCTCATCGCTGCTCCTCTCCTCAGCAATTCAGTTCGATCCGTTTTTCGCGCATCGCGAGTAGCGAGCCCTGGCGATGCCGGGCCGAGGGCCCTCCTGGGAGGAGCTTCTCGGAAGGCCAGAGGCCTCCCGAGCTTCCTGCGGAGAGGCCCGCCCCCTTTGCTGCCTTCCCCCTCCGGGGCGCGCCGGCGAGCATCGTGGGCGCAGGGCCGGCGAGAGCCCCCACACCTCCTCGCGCTGTGCGCGCCCCCCACCGAGCACGGCAACGCGCCTCTGGCACTCTTCGGCAGCCTGGGACACCTGCCGGGCCCCGGGGCCGTGGAGGACTCGGGCGGGTGGTCATGGTCCTCCTCCTCCTCCTCCTCCTCCTGCTCCTCCTGCTCCTCCTCCTCCTCCTCCTCCTCCTGCTCCTCCTGCTCCTTCTGCTCCTCCTGCTCCTCCTGCTCCTGCTCCTGCTCCTCCTCCTCCTCCTCCTCCTCCTCCTCCTCCTCCTCCTCCTCCTCCTCCTCCTGGGGTGGCCTCAATGAGGGGGTGAAGAAAAGGGCCTCGAGGGGGCCTTTACGCCCGCCCCTCTTGGAGCTGGCAGGGGCCCGAAAGGGGCCCGAAAAGGGCCCCCTGCAGGGCTCGCCCCCCATTTAGGCCGCCCCCCTCCCCACCACTCCTCCTCCTCCTCCATCCTCAATCCTCCTTCCTCCCCCTCCCTCCTCCTACTCCTCCTCCTCTCCTCCTCCAACTCCTCCTCTTCCTCTTCCTCCTCCTACTCCTCCTCCTCAGCACCACCCTCCTTTTCCTTCTCCTCCGCCCGAGACATCGGGGCTCAAGAGACGGGGGTCAACGCAAACAGGGTCAGTCAGAGCGCCAGATCTTGCAGGATCCTGCAGGGCCAGGGTCGCATTGACCCGGGCTCGGTGCAGGATCCAGCAGGATCCTGCAGGACCTTGCAGGGTTCTGCAAAGCCCGACTGGCCCGGGTTTGGACTGACCCGGGTCAGTAGGTCCCCGAAGAAAGATTGATGGTGAGAATTTGGTCCCGCGAAGAAGGGGTCCGGAATTCGGGGGAGCCACGTTGGCAAACTGAGCTGCCTCGATGCACCCGTGTCGAAACGCAGCACGTACCGTGTTCAGAACTTACGTCCTGACGCGCTGCGTATTGGCTCGGCACGCCTTGGTCCAGGTTTTGGGCGACCGTGTCGCGCCAAGCGTACGTTTCTGGTCGACGTGTTGCGCTCCGTATCAATACCGCGGAAGCCCATGCCAAGAAACACCCTGCTTGCCTCCAGGGTGCCCTGGGTTCCTTGGGTTTCAATGGACGTCCTGGGGTCTCAGGGTTGGGTTTCTTGTGGAAGGTTTCTTGTGGTCGAGCCCCCACTGTAAGTGCTGCGTGTGGTGTATCGGGGCAGCGAAGCTCTGGGCTCAGAGGAGGGGCTCAGGTTCTTGGGTGGTTCCCTGGAGTTGTGTCGGGGAAGACCCCTTCGGGGGCCGAGACGCGCCGTGACCAGAAGAGCCCCTCCTCCTCCTCCTCCTCCTCCTCCTCCTGCTCCTTCTCTTCTCTTCTCTTCTCTTCCTCCTCCTCCTCCTCCTTGATCCCTGTTGGGCACGCTCGACCTCCTCCTCTTCGTCCTCCTCTTCGTCCTCCTCCTCGTCCTCCTCCTCCTCCTTCTCCTCCTCCTCCTCCTCCTCCTCCTCGTCCTCCTCCTCCTCCTTCTCCTCCTCCTCCTCCTCCTCCTCCTCCTCCTCCCTTCGTTCCTTACTCAGCACTCCCTATGGAAGCACGACGGCTGTAGACCCCCTCTGCCTGCGGCATTCCTCGCGAGCCAGGTCGATCCGTGGGGGTCCCGGGCCCCGAAGCCAGGCGTCCTCGTGCTACCTCTTCGCCTCCCTCTCCTCGCCGGACTCGGCACCGAGCTGGTGAGGTGTAGTTGGTGTTTTGATTCGCCTTTGGGGGTCGTCCCATTGTTTCTGACTCTGGTCGGGAGTGGCCGTAGGCGACTCTTGGCCGGTTCCCTCCCCCACCTTCCACTACTTTTTTCGGCCTCGGCCGAGGTTGTCCAAGCCAGTGGCAGCCTGTCGCCTACATTTACAATGCCCGGTTTGGATAAGGTGCGACGCCCAGATCCCCCGGGAGAGAACGGCGAGACCCGATGTCCCAGGCCCGAGGCCATGCCGTCGAGTCGGTATCCCAGGCCCCCGTTGGGGGCGTGAAGGTGGCCGCGCCTCGCGTTTCGCCGAGGCGCCCCCGTTCGTGGTGGACCTCGCGCGAGCACGACTCTGCGATTCCAGTGAGAGGCCCTGGCCTCGCGCGCCCTGCCCAAGCGGGCACGGGCACGCGCGCCTCGCCTGCATGTGCCCGGATCGGCGCCTCGCTCTCTCCACCTGGGGCCGCTCGTCGTTCGCCTTGGGCGCCCCCCACGGGCGCGCCGCGCCCTCGTCGAGGGAGCGCACGCTCCAGGCCCCTCGCTCTTTCCTGGCCGTGCCTCGGCTGCGCACGCCGCGGCCCCCTGGCCTGGCCCCCTGGGGCCTCCTCCTCCTCCTCCTCCTCCTCCTCCTCCTCCTCCTCCTCCTCCTCCTCCCCCTCCCCCTCCGCCTCCCTCCTCCTCCCCCTCCTCCTCCTCGCCCTCCTCCTCCTCCTCCTCCTACTCTTCTTCTCTCCGCCTCCTCCTCCCCCTCGCCATCCCCTCCTCCCTCCCCTCCTCTCCTCTCCTCTCCTCCTCCTCCTCCTCCTCTCTCCTCCTTCTCCCCTCCTCCTCCTCCTCCTCCTCCTCTCCTCATCCTCCTCCTCCTCCTCACTCTCGCCTCCCCCTACCCCTCCCCATCCTCCTCCTCCTCGCCTCTCCTCTCCTTCTCCTCTCCCTTCGTTCCTTACTCAGCACTCCCCTATGGAAGCCACGTCGCGGTAGACCCTCCGTGCACGCCTCCCTCCTCCTCCTCCATTCTCCTCCTCACCTCCTCCTTCCTCCTCCTCCTCTCCCCGTTGCCTCCCTCATCTCCTCATCCTCCTCCTCTCTTCTCCTCCTCCTCCTCCTCCTCCTCTCCTCTCTCTCCCCTCGCCTTCCCCTCCTCCTCCTCCTCTCCTCCTCTCCCTCCTCCTCCTCCTCCTCCTCCTCCTCCTCCTCCTCCTCCTCCTCCTCCTCCTCCTCCTCCCCATCTCGATCCCGTTCACGCAGAGGGAGGGGTCCTGTGCACCGCTCCTCGTCTGGCTCGATACTTGCGAAGCGAACGAGCTTTCTGGCGATACCGCTGTGGGGTGCCGGCGTGCGCCCTGCCAGACCTCTGGCGACATGACGACTTCAGTCTGGGCGCGTTTCCTCGATTTCGGCCCCTGGGGTCGCTGTCGGGTCCCAGGGCCGTCAAGGACGGGCTCGGGACGCTCAGCCACCCCTTGAGAAGGGGTCGGGATCGGGCGGGGCTGGGACGAGGATAGATCCGCTCCGGAGCGTTCCCCAGCGCTCTCGGGGCGTTTTGGCACGCTCCGAGCAGGCCGCGGCGCCCGAGACATCCTCCGGAGCCGCGGGATCTCGCGCTGGGGCCGCGGAGTGACAGGGTCACGTCGGGGGATGCCTGGGGTTGGCGTTCAGTCGGGCCTGTCCCTCTACAGGGGGATTGCTCGAAAACAGTCAAAAAATAGTCTGGGGACGATTTTAGACTATGTTTGATGATTTTTGGCATATGTTTCGAGCACTCTCGCCCAAAATCCTCCTGTAGGGGGACGTGCCCGACCTAAGGTTGGCGCCCTCCTCCCGCGAGAGGCGAGAGCCCGACGCCCGGGAGGCGGAGGGGGCCTTCGACGGGACGCCGGTCCGGCGCACGCAGCCCGACGCTCGCGAGGCGGAGGGGGCCTTCTGCGGGACGCCGGTCGGGGGGGAGGCAGGAGTACGTAGGGGGCCACAGGCGAACCCTACCCCTACCCCCCACGATTTCTGAGGGGGAGGGTGGGGTTCACTTCGCTCGGGAGCTCCCGGACGAAGTGAACCCTACCCTCCCCCTCAGGAATCGTGGGGGGTAGGGGTAGGGTTCGCCTGTGGCCCCCTAAGGAGTTGCCCATACCCATAGGGTGGGGGCGTTGGTGAAGGAACGTGCACGGGAGGCATCAGACCCTGGAGGGCTCCTTTTCTGACGAGGGCGGCGGCAAGATCCGCTGCCAATCCGCGACTGAAGTTCTCCACTGGCTTCCAGACCCTGGATTCCTTATCCAATGCTTCCTTATCCAATGCCCCCACCGTGTCCGTAGCCATTTTGGCTCAAGGCCATGAACCGTCCCGACGACCGCGAGTCTTTCGGGGCGACTTCTGAGCGCGAGGGAGGTTCCGCTTTGAGGCCACCTTCCTTTCCTAAGTGTGTCAGCTGCCACAGCAGCACCTTCCAGGACCTGCGGGTCAAGTCTTCTTCTGAGTCGGCGGGTCCGCCCCCGCCGTCTCCTGCCTGCTGCTTGCCCGCAGCTGAGCAGCGCGCCCGACCGTGCCAGCGATGGGGCCTAAGGCCGTGCCTGGCTTCGTCGTGTGCACGGGCTGCCGGTACCGCTGGAACTTCCGCTCGAACGCGAAGTGCTGGCTGTGCGGGATCGGGCTGGAGCTGGCGCCCTCGAAGCCTTCGCCCCGCGTTGGGGTCTGGGCGGACGGTGGCGGCGGCGGACCCCAACTCGCACATCGCGGCGGCGGCGGCGGAGGCCCACCGAAGAATGGAGCCAAGGACGGCAAGGGCGGCAAGGGCCGCGGCGCAGCCTACCGTGGTGGCGGCGGTGCAGTCTCCCGTGGCGGCGGCGGGGGTGGCGCGGGCTGCCGTGGCGGAGGCGCCTTCCCGAGGGCCCCCTGGTCGGCCCTGCCCGAGAGCGAGCTCGACGCGCTCCTCGCCTGTGGGGACCCAGCCATCGCAGCCAGGCTGCAGGAGGCGGTCCGCGAAGCGCGGAGCTATGTCGCGCCCGCGGTCGCCCCAGTGCCGAAGCCGCTCGAGCAACGTCTGGAGTCGGCCACGGCGAAGCGGATCAACCTCCAGCGCCAGCTGGATGAGGCGGCGGACGCGCTCGTGGCGGCGGAGGACCACCTCGCTGAATGCCGCGGCTGGCGTGACGAGGCTGCGGGCAGCCTCGCGGAGGCCAAGGAGGAGGAGAACGCCCTCCTGCGCCAGCGTGCCCAAGCGGCGGGCGTCGTGGGAGCCCAGCCCGACGGCGCGAGGCAGCTCACCTTCAACTTTGACGCGGAGTCGTTTGACAACTTCGCCGAGCTGGAGGAGGAGGCGCAGGCCGCCCTCAGGCGCCTCTGCGATGAGGGGCTCCAGATCATGCAGGGCGCGCAGGCTACGTTCGAGCGCAACTGCCAGGAGCACCAGCAGCGCATCAAGCGCCATATCGCGGAGGAGGTGGCCAAGAAGCGCAAGCGCACCGAGGAGGGGCCTGCAGCAGCCGTGGCCCCTGGCACCCCCGTGCAGGGCGCGGGCGCCCCGCCGCAGCCTGCAGGGCAGGCGGCCGCCCCTGATGCCCCCGCCGCCCCCGCCGCAGACGCTGCGCCTGGAGCTGGGACTCCCCCAGCGGCAGCGATGGAGAGCCGAGCGGCAGACGAGGCGGCCCGCCAGCGCGCTGCCGACCAGAAGGCCGCTGCGGCGGCCCCTCCACCTCCTGCTGGCGCTGCTGCTGGCAGCGGCCTGGCCCGCGCGTAGCACCCTGCTGCCAGGCGGCGGCCCCGACGGCGTGGCGCCGCCCGCCCCTGTCGGGGCTGAGGGGACAGAGGCGGCGGCGCCCAGCCGCTCAGAGGCGGCGGCGGCGCCGGGTGGCGGCCTGCCCGCCTGCAAGGCGGCCAACGTGGCGACCGACGCCTGGGTCGAACTTCCCTTCATTGTGCCGCTGCTGCGCCAGGAACGGCGCTTCGGCGTCGTGCGCCACGACACCAAGTTCGAGGCGCTCAGCAGCAGGACAGAGCCAAGCGCTGCGGCTGGCTTGGCTGGGCCCGACCGAAGGACTGGCAGTCCTCAGCCCAGCCAGGGGCCCACGTGCCATAGTGGGTACCCAATTCAAGTTGACGAGGCTACGGGCGAGGGCGTGAGACCCCCTGAGGTTCGGGGCCCCAAGGCGGCGAGCAGCCGCCCGCCTGGCGGCCCCGCGGCCGCCGCGGAAACCGAGCAGCCTGCGGCCCAGCCTCAGCCTGGGCGACCGCAGGCCAAGCCCCTCCAGCTGGCCAAGCAAATCAGGCCTACGGGACCGAATCCAACTAGCTTCGTCACGCTGAACGTCTCGACCTGGTCAGAGAAGAAGGTGGAGATGGAGCGGATCCAGGATGGAGGAGGTGACGACGTCATCCTGGCGCAGGAGAGGCGATGCGCTTATAGCCAGAAGGCGGCCAACGCCTGCTGCTGGGCCAGGAGCAACAGCTTCAGCGCCGCCTTCGGCAGCGTCCACAGCACGGGGCAGGCGGCGCAGGCTGGCTCGGAGGGCGTCGGAGTGCTGGAGTCAACGACCTGGGGCGTGGCGGCGACCGACCACGACGGGCACCAGCGCAGTGCCCGCACCCTGGCCCGAAGGGTGGCCTTCGGTGATCTCGCGGTCACGGAGGTCAGCGCCGACCTCGAGATCCCGTTCAGGAGGCTCAAGGAGTCCGTCGAGACCGCGGAGCTCCACCTGACCGACCAGTTCGGCATCTCCGAGGGTGAGTGGTACCAGGGCAGGGCCAAAGGACCCCGCTCTGTCAAGAAGAAGCTGGCGGACCAGCAGCGCAGGAAGGCGGTCAGGAAGCTCAGCCCCCTCACCAGCTGCCGCCTCCGCCTCGGGAGGATCGCCAGACAGCTCAGAGCGGCTGCTGCGGGCTGCTCACCCCCTGTGGGGCACGTGGGCGACATGAAGCACCTGGTGCAGGTGGCCAGGAGCTTGGGGCACAAGTTCGAGCAGGTGGGCAGCACCGCGTTCGAAGACAAGAAGCTCGTCTCGCTGAAAGAGGTGACCCAGGTGCCCACTGTGCAAGGGCAGGCCTTCCTGCGGGCGATCGAAAGAGCGTTGGCGTCACACAGGGGCCTCCACGGCGACGGCGACTACCAGCAGGACGAGTTCGGCTGCTGCTTCGCCCTGCGGTACTCCTCCGCCCTCGTTGCGGAGAAGGCCAAGGAGAAGGACAGGAAGGAGGCAGCGGTCCAGGAGTACGACGCCAGGCCTGCGACTCTGTGCCAGCTCCGCGGCGAGGAGAGCGGGACCCTGGCCCGCCGCCACCGCAAGTGCCCTGCCTGGGGGGGCTGGAGGCAAGGTCGCAGCCCCGCCGACTTGCTGCGAGCTGCCGAGTTGGTGGCAGAGTTCGACGGCGAGGTCGTCTTCCTGCACGCCGCCGCGGCGGAGCCCGCCCCTGGGACAGGTGGATTCAGCCCACCGAAGTCGCAGTCCCAGGGGCGCGGCGAGTTCGGGAAGTTGCACGACTCGGAGGTGCGCGGGCCTGTCGTGTCAGCGGCTGGCAACATGCAGATGCCCGTCGCGGAGGCTGACGTTGGCGACGGCGAGGCGCAGGCCGCGGCGGCTGACGGCGGCCCCCTCCTCGCCACGGCGGCGGCCCGGGCAGCAGTGACGGCAGCGGCCGCTTCCTGCTCGCGGCCGTCGCCCGCGAGGCGCCGCCCCGCCTCGGCCGATAGGCCCGCGGAGGTGCTGCGCCGAGCACCCCAGCGCAGGGTGCAGGAGCAGTCGAGGCGCCGCGAGGCCTCGGCGCCCGCGCCCAGCCCGCGGCGGGCGGCGGCAGCGGCGGCTTGCAGCGGCCCAGCCCCTGAGGTGGCGGCCGATGCGGCCCGTCCAGCGGGATTGCGGGTCTACGGCCACCTCATACGGGGGTCGCGCGTCGAGGGCAACGGCTCCGAGCCCCCCCTGGTCTGCTCAGCGTGCTGGGGGTACTGCCGCCTCCCCAGGTGCGCGCATCGCGGCCTGGCCATGCCGTGTGGGGCCAGCGCGGCGGCTGGGCAGCCCACGTCCCTGAGGGGCTCCCGAGCCCAGGCGCGGACGGACTTCGCACGGGGCACCCTGCCTGCGTCCAAGGATCCGTTCGCGCCGCTGGCCCCGCCGATGGAGAGCACGCGCCTGTGCTGGGCGACGGCGCTCCAGGCCAGGCTGGGCCGCGGGGCGGAGGAGCAGGCGCTCGCGGCGGCGCCCGTGCCATCGCAGCGGCAGCCTGCGGCCGCCCCGCCCCCGCCACCTGCGGCTGGCGATGGGGGCCAGGCGGCAGCGCCTCCGCGCGCCGCGGCGCCGCGGCGCCTGGTCGCGGCGGCCCCGCGGGCGGAGGCCGAAGAGCCGCGGCAGGTCCGCCCAGGGCTCGAGGGCGTCCTCTGCGCCCGCGGCTTCGCAGTTGCTGCGGCGGCCCGCGGGCGCGTGAGAGCCGCGGGGTCGGCGGCCGCCCGCGCACGCCGCGCGGCGGGGCTAGCCGTGCGCTGATTGGAGAATTCATGCATGAAGCCGCCGAGCCCGCTCGGCGCCCACATAGTTTTTTTTTTTGTTTTAAAAAAATGCCCCCACCGTGCTCAGCATCGTTGAAACCACCCCAGTGGGGGATCTGCCACTCGACGCTCGAAGGGAGCAGCCTATATCCCCCCATCCAGGGTGGGGGTAACTGGGCCAGTGGGACCCAGGCAACGCCCGTGGGGATGGGGATCGGTGCAACGATGCTCGTCTACTTCCGGGACTTCTCCAAGGGTGCGTTCTGGCCAGAATTTCGAGGCGTGTCCAGCGGTGGCGACGCGGGCCTCCCACGAGCCGGCTTCGCGTAAGAGTGGCCCTTCGCCGGAGCAGCCTTCGGTGCGGGCTCGCATGGGGCTCCCCCCAGCACTGGCCTGCGCGCTTGGCTGTGACCCACCCGCGGCCCCCTGAAGCCGCGCAGCAAGCTTCACCCTTGCCTCGGGTCACTCTTGCGCGTGGCCGAACGAGGCCAGGCAGCGGCATCGGTACCCTTTCCTTGCTCCGAGGTCGGGGGCGCTCTGCCGCCGGTGCCGCCCCCGTTCCCGGCCTTCCGCGGGGCCGCGGGCGTGGTGGTTCCCAACTGCGTGCCCTTCGTCTTCGCCAGGGGCGTGCTCGCCACGGCATCGTGCCTCCCGGGCGCCGCCCCGCCCGCGGCGGCGGCGGCGGACCCCAGGCCCAGTCGGTCGGAAACACTTCGTGGGCGGAGGACGTCTGTCCGTATCCGCGTCCTCGGGAACAGGGCCCCGAGGCCTCGACCTGGTGGGCACGGGGCGTTTTGTTGCAGCTGCCCCGCCCGGAGCGTGCCCGTGCGACCGCGTATCCGCGGGATCGTGCCCCGGAGTCCAGGTCTGCGAGGGCATGGATATGGATACCTTCGCCGCCCGCCATCACGTCACTGTCCCCATGACCTGGCGCCGCCGTACCTCGGAGCAGATCTGGAGGACGCCCCGAGCTTCTGCGGGCACGCCCCCGAAGACTGTCCTGGCCATGGGCTTGTTGCCAGCCTTTGGGCACAGGGATGAGCCTCTCGAGGCTGGCTCCCAGACCTCCCGCGTCTTGTGTTTTTCTCCGTGCGGGGCCCCCAGACCTCTGGACCACCTCCCCGGGAGCGGCCCTTCGCCCCGCACATCGATCCCCGACGGCCCAGACACGGCCCCCCCCCAAGCCGTGAGCGACCGCAGCTCCCCGCCTCGCCTTCGGCTTTCGCCCCGAGGCGTTGGGGGGAGGTCTGGGCGGTTGGCATGCTGCCGGCCCCCGCCGGCGCGAGGACCGCCAGCGCGCCGCCCGTGCCGCCCCCGCGGGGCCCGTGGCCGCAGGCCGCAGCCGCAGCCTGGGCGGCCTGCGTCCCGCCGCCGCCCGCGCAGCCTCCGCTGCCGCTGCCCGGGGTCCCGCGGCGCGAGTCGGCTCGCAGGGGCAACTTGGCGGCGCGCAGAGGGGGGTAGGGGGAGGGGGGAGGGCTTCTTAGAAGGAGGCTGCTTCTTAGAAGGCGCCGGCCTAACATTTGTAGACAAGGGCCGCGCCTTCTGAGAAGCAGGGGTGCTTCTAGGAAGCCTTCCCCCCTCCCCATACCCCCCTGTGCGCGCCGCGAAGCAACGGCCGAGAGGGGGCGGCGGGGGGCGGGCGGCCCGGGGGTTGGGTCGGGCGTGTCCCCCTGCCAGAGGGGATTTTTTGGGGAAGGATGCAGAGGAGCCAAAAGTTGCAATCAAGAGCAGACAGTCACACACACATGGTAGAGCCATCGTCCTCAGACTTTTCTTGTGTGTCTGGTTTTGAAGATGCCTCCTGTGGAGGGACGTGTCCGACTCAACCCAGGGGGGGAACACCACATGGGCGGTTTCGGAAACCCCGGGCCCACAAGCCGTTTTCGTCTCCAGGGGGCACCTCTTTTATACTTCCGCCGCCTTCCGCCGAGCTTCCGCCAGCGGAGGCGGCCTCGTTTCACTTCCACCGACCTTCCGCCGCCTCCCGCCGCGGACGAGATGGCCGCTGCAAGGCCCTTTTTGGGAAGGCCCCGCATGGGCGCGCCGCTCCAGAGAGAGCCTCGCCCTCGAGGATCGAAGGAGTTGCCGTCGCCTTCCCCGGCGGCCGCGCGACGGAGGGCGGCGAAATTGTGAAGCGCCGCCGCCGCCGCCGGCGGAGGCCCGCGGACGGCCGGAGGAAGCAAATCCCCCCCCCCCGCAGAGATGACAGCATTTGGGGGTTCAGGGTTTCCAGAACCGGCCGCATGTGTCCAAGGGCACTGGAGGCCGACAGCCAGCCCGAGGTATAAGGTCGAGGTCAGTTCGGGGAGGATGCCCTCATTTTCTTCGTGTTTGTTGAACGTTCTCGTGCGTCCTGGGGAGGGTGCCCTAGGATGTTCTGTGTGTTCTGGCCAGCAGAGGGTCTCATGTTCTTGTAGGATGTTCTTCTGGCCCAGGTCCGACTGTATGTCTTGGATGCGTGTAGCGCCCGCCCACGGGCCATTCGCCCCCAACGTCGCCCCCGATCGACCGCGGGGAACTGGCCCTGGGGGGGGAGGCACAGACATAGGTCGAGCATGTCTTTCCCCAGGCGGACTTTGCAGGAACCATGCGAAATAGTCACGGCTCTTCAACAGTAGTACAGAAGAATGGGGAAAGCATCCCCAGACTGTTTTTGGATTATTCTTGAATTTTCCTCCCGTAGAGGGATACAGTGAGCGGCTTGAATAAGGAACGCTTACTTTTCAAAAGGGGCTCAGTCGTTCCTTAGGCTTGCATGCGTTATTTATCGTTCCCTATGCGTTAATGTATTATTTGTTCATCGTTCCCTGTGCGTTATTCCTTGGAAGAGAGGGGCTTCGTTCCTTATTCATCGTTCCTTAGGTCAGGCCGATGACTGTATGCCAATCTTGAGCATCGACCCCCGTCGCCCCGCCCTCGCCGTTCGGGGCCCGCGGTGCCCCACCTGCGCCCCGTGGGGCGTGCGGTGCTGCTGCCGGGCGGCCCGCCGATCCGCCTGAGAGCTGCCTCACCCGCATCTGGGTCGATGCCCCCCCCCCCGCCGCCGAGTCAGTCGCTCCCCCCGCCTCCGAGGGCTCATTTCGATTCCTCCGATTCGATTCGATCCGATCTCGATGGCCTCCGATCCCATCCGATTCGGCTTCGGACCCCGATGCGGATTCCGATCGATTCCTCAGAGGAGGCCTCCTGGCCGGCCGATCTCTGCCGAGTCGACTTCTCTCCCGACGTGGCCGCCGACTTCCGCCGATCCGATTCGTTTCGATCTCCAATCCGACTTGTCCATTCGATTCTGGGCTCTCCTGCCCCCCACCGATCGGAGGAGGAGGAGGAGGAGGAGGAGGAGGGGGAGGAGGAGGAGGGGGAGGAGGAGGAGGAGGAGGGGAGAGGAGGGGGAGGAGGAGGGGGGGAGGAGGAGGAGGAGGAGGAGGAGGAGGAGGAGGAGGGGGAGGAGGGGAGGAGGAGGAGGCGGAGGGGGAGGAGTGGAGGAGGAGGAGGAGGGGAGGAGGAGGAGGAGGAGGAGGAGGAGGAGGAGAGGAGGAGGAGGAGGATCCCCCCCCTCAGGCTCTGGGCTCGTGGCCCGCCCCGCCCGCGGCGGGGCCGGGCGCGGCCGCGCCGCCGGGGCCGCTGCCCAGCGCGGGCTCCGCCCTGCACGCGCTGGGCCTGTGCAAGCCGTGCGCCTTTGTGCACACCAAGGTGAACACAGGGGCTCCCACGAGGGCGCGAAGTTATTCGCGCTTCGCGCCTCGCGGTCCTCGTTCCTTCTCCCCCTCCTCCTCGTCCTCCTTTTCTCCCTTCTGGGGGGCGGCGCGAGGGCGCGAGGTTTTTTCGCGCTTCGCGCTTCGCACTTCGCGGAGCGCGAAGCGCGGAGTTGGGAGCCCTAAGTTAAGTCGGGCGTGTCCCCCTACAGGAGGAATTCAGAGATAGTCAAACAAATAGTTTGGGGACGATTTTTTTACTATTTTTGAATATTTTTGGTTCTTTTAGGAGTTTGTTATGCCATTTTTTTTCGCCCCAAATCCACCTGCAGGGGGATGCCCGACCTAACACCAAGGGCTGCGGGAACGGGTCGGGGTGCCAGTTCTGCCACATTGGAAGAAGAACAAGAACATGTAAACATAAACTTTCGGCTGTCCGCGCGGGTTTCTCGGATCCGCGCCATGAGCCCCCTGGCGGCGCCTCCGGCGCTGCCCCTGGCGCGCTCCGCGCTCCAGGGGCACGTCGCGGATCCAAGAAATCCGCGCGGAGCGCCAAAACAGTTTATTCTGTTTATGCAGTTTTTTCATCTTCTACACATGTGCGACGAGGGCGAGAAGGGCCGCAGGCGCAAGGAGAAAGCCGCCGTCCACAAGCAGGCCCACAGGACGGGGGTCCGCATCCAGGTTCAGTGAGGCCTCTCGCGCGGACGAGGACGCTCGTGGGGTGGTGGGCAGGAGCAGGGTCTTGCAAGTCGAACTCCTGGCGCACGGACGAGCGCCGTTGTGCCCGATGTGCTGGCGGAAGCTCTTGCTGGCCACGTCGCCGGTCGGTGCAGCAGCTGTGCCTGGGAGACCTCGGGTTCCGGTGTTGAAACAATGCCAGCGAGCGCATCCACCTGAGCGTGACCGTTTGGGGTTTCCAAGCGGAGTGGCCAGGGCTAGCATTTTCCCCTCCTCCGCTCCCCCCTCCTTCCTCCCTCCTTCCACTCTCTCTGCTTCCCAGTGGGCGACAAGAGGGCTCCACTCTCCGACAACACGATGTTTTCGATGAGCCAGCCCCTGGTTCTCTCGACGATCTTCAGGGGTCCAGCTGCTCATCTCATGTCACCTTTGACGGTCCAGAGGCCCAGAAACGGCTTCCGTTTTTTCGGGCCTCGGCCTCTTCGTGTACGTCTCCTCCGCGTGCCAGTCGAATTCGGTCCCGCGGGGCGCAGGACGAACGCGGCTCCACGCGGCACCGGCTCGCGCACGCCGTTGGCAAGCGCTTCGGCAAGACTGTGTTGTGTTGCACGCAGGCGGGCCTGCTCTCCATAAGTCGAGAAGCTACCCAGCCAGACGCATCGCTAGGACGAGTTGGCGGATGGGGTTGGTGGGGGTGGTGTTGCCGAAGGGCTTTCCACCCGTCGTCGACGAGTTTGATCGGCAGCCGTAACAAAGCCTCCGACACCATGATTTGATCGTGCCTTGTGCCCTTGGAGCTATCGATCCCATCCCTGGGACCTGGGACCTTTTTCTGGTCCTGGGTTGGCTTTTGATGGTCCTAGCGAGCCCGAAACGTGTTCTGAGAGGCCCAACCTTGGGAACGAGCCCTCCTGCAGGTCCTGGCCTCCCTGCGCTGACCCTCCAGGGTCCCGCTCCCGCGAGCATGCGCGTTCGCTCGCTCACCCTTCCCCCTCCGGCCTCCCCCCTCCCCCCTCCCTGCTTCTCCCTGCCTCCCCACCCCCTCTTCCTCAGCTCCGCTGCCCCGGTGTACGCACGTTTTGAGACGCAGCGCGCGCCGTGTTCCAGACGCCCGCGTCCACACGCCGCGTGTCGGCTCCCTGCGTTGGCCCACCTTTTGGGCGAGCGTGTCGCGCCACGCGTGCGCTTTTTTAAGGCCACGCGTCGAGCTCCGTGCCTCCTCCGCGGCCGCCCCGTCCGTCTCTCTCCCCCCCGCTCCTGCATGCCGGGAAATCCCCCTCCTCGGCGCCCCCGTTGGGCTCGCTCGCTGACTCTTTGGCGAACGTGTCGCGCCACGCGTGCGCTTTTTTAAGTCCACGCGTCGAGCTCCGTGCCTCCCCCTCCGCGGCCGCCCCGTCCGTCTCTCTCCCCCCCGCTCCTGCATGCCGGGAAGTCCCCCTCCTTGGTGCCCCCGTCGGGCTCGCTCGCTGACCTTTTGGCGAGCGTGTCGCGCCACGCGTGCGCTTTTTTCAGTTCACGCGTCGAGCTCCGTGCCTCCTCCTCCGCGGCCGCCCCGTCCGTCTCTCTCTCCCCCCCGCTCCTGCATGCCGGGAAGTCCCCCTCCTCGGTGCCCCCGTGTGGCTCGCTCGCTGGTGCAGAGCCGTGCTGCCGCGCCGCCGGCGGACAGAGCTGAGAGCCCCGTGTCAGCACGCCACGGCTTGAGCGTTTTCGGCACCGCCCGATCCCGTGGCTCTGCCTCCTCCTGGCCTCGCCGTGAGGCTGCGCTGCTTCCCTTCCCCCCCCCGTCTTTGTTGATTCAAGCTTCGCGCGGCCCGCGTAGCTTCGACCGGAAGCGGTGCGCTCTCGACCCGCGAATCAAAAAGAGCGTTGCCCATCGGGGCGGCTAAGGTTCCCCACGGGGGCGCAGCGCCTCGTCGCCGCGCCACCGGGCCTGGCGGCCGGAAGGGCCCGCCTCCGCGGGGCTTCCCCGCTGCGGCGGCGCCGTGCGGCCTCGCAACGTGTCGTCCAAGAGCTGCACGGATCCGAGGGCGAGGCCCGTTTTCGAGGTGTCGCTCTCGCCTGGGCGCCGCCCACACGTCGTATGCATTGTGCATCAGTCCGTCGAGAGTCAGAGAACCCTCACCCCAACAAGACGTCGCCTCATTTGGGTCCCTGTCTCCGTCTTCGGAATCGTGTATCTGGGCAGCTTGGCTCGATGCTTCTGCAGAACAGGCCCCCTCGACCCCTAATGTGTTTTGCTCTCCTAAACTTCGCCCCCTCCCAGAATTGCCTGCTAATCATCAGTTCTCATCAGTTGCACGGATGCAGGGCTGCCCGTTTCCAACACCACAAATGTCGGTGAACGGTTTGCCGCGGTTGCATCAGTGGAGGGCGGGTGATTCACACAATCTGACGATCGCCACGGCGCTGCGCACATTCGCGTCAAAGGCTTCAAGCTGTCAGGCAGACGGTGGGCGGCTCTCTTTACCAGTTATGGCTCCCGCTTGAGACTTCTGATCTGTGCGAGCGTGGGCACATGGCCTCGGGCAGCAACGCTGATGGAGGACATCCTGTATTCAAAATGTAGCTCTCGCTTCAGATTTCTTCAGATCCTATGGTTGCAAAGTTGGGAAGTTCCAGCAGTTATCAAGGTGAGGGGCGATCCCTTTGTAGCCTCGGGCTCTCACGTGGGCTTCCCCACGGATTGCGATCATAACGTGTAACACCCTCGGCAGATGCATATGATGAGGGTGGCTCTTTTTCAAAATCGCGCTCTTCCTGTGGCGCCGCACGCTTGTCGTGACAGCTACACAATGACATGACTGAAGGGCGATTTATTCTCAAGCTTGTCGTGCTTTGTAGCGTTGAGCGGTCGCTGAACATGACCGCCGGCCCTTCTTTCAAAATGCAGGCGTTGGGCTCTTATCATGAAGGTCCACTGAGTTCGCACGCTTTAAGCGGGTGCTTGAGCACGGTGGAACCGTTCGTTAAGGAATGTGCCCATGAGGCTTCAGACCCCGCAGGGTTCCTTATCTGATGAGGGCGGCGGTGATGTCCATAGCCAAGCCTCACTTGGAGTTCCACCTGTCTTCAGACCCTGGATTCCTTTCCCAATGGCTCGTTATCCAATGCCCTCACCGTAGTGAACATGATTGCATTGATTTGTGAGGATTGGAGCTGCAGGGTTTCGTTTCGACCCGATAGACCCGAGTAACTCTACATCTGGTCAGCTTGATACGATACGATTTCGATCTTCGACAATCCAGTGCGACTCGATGCATGGCGCTGTTGTACAGCCTGTCGAAGCTGATCACATTCGGTTTCGATTATGTGCCGATGCAGCCCGATCCGATACCATTCGGATTCGATCTGATTTCTGGATTCGCTGCTGCCCGATCCTGGCCGTGACATATGTATTTCAGCATCAGTGGTGTGTGATGGGATTGCTCTCCTCATCCTTCCGAGGCTGGGATCCTGTCATACACGTCTACCGCCTGGGGAACCTATGCCTTGGGGCCCCAGGAGGTGGTGGATGTGTATAAATCCAGGCATGTGGACATCTTTGGTTCCCCCGGCCCGCATGTATCCATATCCACCGCCCCCCTGGGGCCCTGGAGCATCCGCTCCCTAGGCTGTGATAATGTACATCCCAGCATTGTGCTATTCGTCCTCCTCCTCCTCCTCCTGCTCCTCCTCCTGCTATTGACGCGCTGCGGTCGTCCCGTCTATGTCTGCACATCGCATAACATGAGAAGGAGGAGGAGGAGAAGAAGGAGGAGGAGGAAGATGAGGAATAGAAGGAGGAGGAGGAAGAGGAGGAGGAGGAAGAGCAGGAGGAGGGCAGCAGCAGGAGGATGATGAGGAGGACGAGAATAATAGTCATAATAATGATCAGATATAGATATACGACGACTACTCATAATTGAGAACACGAATGCTACTCACTACCAATCATATTCAGCATACGACTAATGCTGATCATAATAATGCGATGACTACTCTGACGACGACTACGACTAATAATAACACATTAACAAAACCCTACACACAATTCTAATACTACTTAGCATACGAGCCCCAATATCAGCCGTACTGTTAGTATGACGAGTACGGTAAAAACAGGTTACATGTAATCATACAAAGAAGAAGACGGACACGAATACTAACACCAACCATAATGTTAGGAAGACGTATCATAATACCAACGAGAAGAACTATTACTATGAATACTACGGAGGAGAAGCAAGAGGTGGATGAGGATAAGGAGGAGGAGGATCAGGATGAGGATGAGGATGAGGAGGAGGAGGAGAAGGCGGAGGAGGCGGAGGAGGACGAGGTGAATGAGGAGCAGGAGCAGGAGCAGGAGCAGGAGGAGGAGGAGGAGGAGAAGGAGGAGGAGGAGGAGGAGGAGGAGGAGATGGAGGAGGAGCAGGAGGTACTGGCCCTCCTCTTCCTCGCACTTCTCATGAGTCGTTCGTTCGTTCGTTCTTCTCTTGTTTGGCCTTGCTCAGATATAGGGGAGCCCGTCGTTGCGTCTTAATGCCACTGCCCAGCCAGAAACACAATTCAGTCACATAGCAGTGAAACACGAGTAGCTGCAGGCACGTGCGAGCAGCGGCGCGAACCGCGAGCGGGTGGAAGAGAGAGACAGGTGGAGTACGCTGTTGCGCCTCTTCTTCTTCCTTCTCCTCTCCCTCCTCCTCCTCCTCCTGACGGTTCCCCCTCCTGCCCCTCTGAGCTCATTCCCTCCAGTGATTCTCGTCTTCCAGTTTTCGGGTCAGAGCTCGTGTCTTCCGCAGCCCTTCGTGACGATGCGGGCACCTCTCGGCGAGGCGCAGCCGCTGGAGACCATCTCGAGGCTGGAAAGCCGCCGAGAGCCGACGAACGCACCTCCGAAAATCTCGAACATAGAACCCGAGCCTGCCCTCCTTTTTGACGTTGGTCAAACATTAGCTCGAGGCTGTTGCGTGTCTCAGCTAAGTACTCGAACTTTTAAGGGACGGGCGCAAACAAGTTCCCAAGAGGACGAGTGCAAGAGGAGCAAAGCGTGAAGTGCGGCAGTCGTGCTGAGAAGAGCGCGGAACATGCGAGAGAAGCTGAACATATAGAGCAACGATCCAGAGCAAGCACAGTGTAAGGGTCCCGACCCCTGCCCTCCTCCTCCTCCTCCTCCTCCTCCTCCTCCTCCTCCTCCTCCTCCTCCTCCTCCTCCTCCTCCTCCTCCTCCCCCTCCCCCCTCCCCCTCCTCCTCCTCCTCCTTCCTGATGGCCGCTCCTCATATTCCATGTGCATGCGTTGCGGCCTGGCCGCTGCCAAGGCGCAGCCTCGCCAGGGCCTTCCCGCGCCCCGCGCTCCGTTCGCATCGCCCCCGCGGGCGGCCGGCGGCGCTGGCCACGACCAAGCGCCACACAGCTGCGGGCGTTCGGTGACGATAGCGATGACGATGAAGTCATAATGATGCCATCGTCATCGTCATCGTCATCGTCATCGTCATCGTCATCGTCATCGTCATCGTCATCGTCATCGTCATCGTCATCGTCATCGTCATCGACGCGGGAGGCGGAGCTAGTATTTCTGACACGCCGCCGTTCGGAGCTCGTCACTGTGCTGCTTCTTTGTTCTGGTTCGAAGGTCTGGCGTCTCTTCGGCAGGAACGCACTGATGGGCACACGCTGATGGGTTTCCTACCGCAACGTGTCATTGGTACCCCTCTGGGCCCAGTCCCATTCGATCGATTAGATTTTGTGTTCGCCAGGCTTGGCGCCGATCCGATTCCGACACTCCAGTGGCCCGGTGTGGCCGAGTGCCTGCAAGAGCGCTGCTTTGCATACCTGGCGCGTTCGATCTGGTTCGAATTCCGACTCCGTGCCGATGCAGGCCGGTCCCACGCACGTTCCAATCCGCCTCGATTCTCCTGGACTGATCCTGCCAGCGCCACACGGCTGCGGGCGCTCATCACTCCTTCGGATCCTCCTCCTTCTTCTCCTCCTCCTTTTCTCCTCCTCCTCCTCCTTCTTCTCCTTCTCCTCCTCCTTCTCCTCCTTCGCGCGCGCGCTCGCAACCGCGCGACAGGGCCACTTGCAAGGCGCGCTCGGCAGGCAGCAGCTTGCAAAAGGCACGGCCGCCGGGGCAGAACTGACAGCTGGCGGACAGCAAGGGGGCCTGCCACCGCCGGCGCGCCACTCGCGGGTCTGACCAGGGCGACCCGCTCGCGCCCCTCCTCTTCGGCTGTGGCCTGCGCCCCCACTTGCGCGCGCTGGAGGAGGAGGAGCTGCGCTGGCGGGCAGAGTCGCGCGGATTCCCGCCGGGCGACGTTCGCGTGATCGCCTACCTGGACGACTTGATGGTCCTCGCGCCGCTGGAGGTCTCCGCGGAGGCGTTGCCGGCGGCGCAGGCCGCGCTCGCCGCGCTGGGGCTCGAGCTGCAGCCGGGAAAAACGCAGGCGTGGTTGCCCCAGACCACCTGCCCGCCTGGCCTGGAGGCGCGCTGACCAGCGCGAGGCCTCACCCCGGTCGGAGCCCCGCTCTCCGAGCAGGCGCAGCCGCGGAAGCTCCCACGCCGGGACGAGGGGCGCCGGGCGGACCTGGGCGAAGCTGACTACGCGACGGGGGGCGCCGAGGACGCCCCGACGCGGGCCGCTGGGCTGCTCTGGAAGGTGGCCGAGCTGCCCTCGCTGGCCTCCCCGCACTTGCCCGCGGCGCAGACGGCGGCCCTGCTCTTGTGGCACTGCGGGGCTGGCAAACTGACGCGCACGCTGCGCTCAACGCCGCCCGAGCAGGCGCGTCCGGCGGCGGCGGGCTTGGCCGCCTGCGAGGAGGTCGGGCACCTGGACCCGCTGGCGCCGCAGCAGCAGCGGCGCTGCCGGCTCCCGCTGATGGCTACCCTGCCTGGACGACTTGGACACGAGCCCGCTGCCGCTCGCCGCCGCTTGCCAGAGCAGCCTCGCCGGGCTCGCGGCGCTCCCGCCGCCGCCTCGCTGGGGCGCGGACGGCCCTGACAGGCTGCCCGCGTGGGCCGAGCTCGCAACCGAGCCCCAGAAGAAGCTCCACATGGCGCTCGCTGCAAAGAGCTACACCTCCTTGCTGGGCACCCTGGACTCGGAAGAGGACCAGGCATTGCTCCACTCCTGCGGCGGCCGGCACGCCGCCGGCTGGCAAACCGCTGCGCCTGGCGGGCCCGGGCAGCGCCTAGACGACCCCGACTTTTGCTCCGCGCGCGCTGCTTGCTCGGCCGGGACGCCGCGCCCGTTGGGGCCACCTGCCTGCGCCCGTACCGAGGAGCGGGCTGGCAAGGCTCACCACGCCTTGCGCTGCTCGCGCGGAGGCGGGCCGAAGCGCGCAGCTGCGACCGGAAGACCGTGCGGGAGCGGGTCCGTGCAGTGCGGGCGCAAGCACTGTCGCGACCGTGATTCGGGGCTCGCAGGAGGAGGAGGAGGAGGAGGAGGAGGAGGAGGAGGAGGAGGAGGAGGGGCGGAGGAGGAGGAGGAGGAGTAGAGGAGGAGGAGGAGGGAGGAGGAGAGGAGGAGGAGGAGGAGGAGGAGGACGGAGGAGGAGGAGGAGGATGGAGGAGGAGGCGGAGGAGGAGGCGGAGGCGGAGGAGGGGAGGAGGAGGAGCGAGGAGGAGGAGGAGGAGGCGGAGGAAGGAGGAGGCGGAGGAGGAGGAGGAGGAGGAGAGGATGGAGGGGACGGAGTGAAGGAGGAGGAGGAGGAGGAGGAGGAGGAGGAGGAGAGGAGGGAGGGACGGAGGAGGGGTGGAGGAGGAGGCGGAGGGAGGAGGAGGAGGAGGAGGGAGGCGGAGGAGGAGGAGGAGGAGGAGGAGGGGAGGCGGAGGATGCGGAGGAGGAGGAGGAGAGGGAGGAGGATGAGGAGGAGGAGGGGGAGGAGGAGGAGGCGGAGGCGGAGGCGGAGGAGGGGGGGGGGGAGGGAGGAGGAGGAGGAGGAGGCGGAGGAGAGGAGGTAAGCGGAGGAGAGGAGGAGGAGGCGGAGGAGGAGGGAGGCGCGAGGAGGAGGAGGCGAGGCGGGAGGAGGAGGGGAGGTGGTGGCGGAGGAGGAGTAGGGGCGGAGGAGGAGGAGGAGAGGGGGCGGAGGGGGACGAGGGGGAGGAGGAGGCGGGAGGAGGCGGCGGAGGAGGAGTGAGGAGGAGGCGGGAGGAGGAGAGGAAATGGGGAGGAGGAGGACGAGGAGGCGGAGGGAGGAGGAGGAGGTGGAGGCGGGGAGGAGGCGGCGAGGAGGTAGGCGGAGGAGGAGGCGGCGGAGGAGGAGGAGGAGGAGGAGGAGGAGAGGAGGGGATGAGGCGGGAGGGGTATGGGGGTAGGGGGAGGGGAAATTGGAGGAAGAAGAAGAGGAGGAGAAGGAGGAGGAGGAGGAGGAGGAAAAAGAAGAGGAGGAGGCGGAGGAGGAGGAGGGGGAGGATGATGAGGAGGAGGAGGAGGAGGAGCAGGAGGAGGAGGATGAGGATGAGGAGGAGGAGGAGGAGGAGGAATAACATTAATATAAATAATACTAGCATTATTATTATTATTAATAATAATACTACTACTATTAATGATAATACCAAGGAGAATATGAATTCTAATAATGAGAAGAAGTATACTAATAGTAATGGCACTACGCATACGAATACTAATAATAATAATTACAATAAGAACATTACTACTAATAACAATAGTAAGAATAAGAAGAATAATGCTAAGACGAATAATAAGAATCATAAGTATAAGAAGACGAAACATAATAATACTGATAATAAGATTAATACTAAGAAGAATAATACGAAGAAGGGGAGGAGGAAGGAGGAGGAAAAAGAGGAGGAGGAGGAGGAGCAGGGGGAGGAGGAGGAGGAGGAGGAG